CGAAAAGAGTTGTCAGTTGGCTAATCTATAAAGCTCTAGGTAATCATAATTTAAAGTAATTTTGATGTACATAATATATATGGCTGTGATGATAATCCAAAGAATTATAAGTAAATAGTCAAGCTTGTTATCAATTTTCCAGAAGCACCATCTATTATGATAGAAAATAGTTCAATTCTGAAGTATATCCTTTATTTACTATTCAAAATTAAACTTGAGGCCTTAACGTCACAGTGGACTATAGCCTCCGAAGCACTTCGTCCAATCAGAATCGCCTAATCATTGTTGACGGGACTTGAACGACATTAAAACAATGCCGATAATGGATGACCCCAAGTAGCTCAGTTGTTAGCACTAATGACTGGAATTCGTAAGGTCGCCGGTTCGAATCCTGCTGTGTTCACTTTGTGCTGCCTGGGTCTTATGACTGTCTAGAAAGCTTTAAGCTGCCTGGGTCATAAGACTGTCTAGAAAGCCTAAAACCGTGTTCACTTCGGGGGCACCGCTGCACAGTAGACACAGTAAGGATTCGAGCCACCTTTTTTTTTATCAGTGTATGTAGTGCATGTAGCTTTTTAGAGAGTATATTTAAGAAAATTTGCAAATAAGTTTTGTTAAACAAAAAAAAAAAATAAACAAAGAAAAAATAGGTTTTGTAAAAAAAAACAAAAAATCAAATGCATCTACAGTAAATAAAAGTTATGTATGTACAAGTTTTAACTACTTATGCTATTTTTTTTTTATTCATTATCAGAATCAGATGTATCATCTGATGCAGAAGCATCATCAAACAAACGGGTACTATTAATGTTTTCTGAATCATCAATTTCCTCATCGGATTCATAACCAAATCTGGTCCAAATATCATCTTCTAAATCGACAAAATCATCATTTTCTACATCATTAAATGAAATGGTTTTAAGAGCATGTATTAAACCACTCCATATATCGTTTCGATGTTTTTTTCGCCAGATATATTCGATTAGTTTCCATGGCACCATTTGCTTTGTTCGATGGCGAGGGCGTATGTTGATTTTAATACCATTCCATACACCTAATTTATAAAATAAAAAGTAAATAAATCGAATTTTCTTCTCTTAAATAAAGTAATTACCTTCAATAGTATTTGTGTGGATATTTCCAGCACGTACAAACTGTTGAGAATGGTTAATTGACTCATGAAGAAAATGACAACCTTCAATATTGGGTATGTTATCGTAAGCACGCCAACAATCAGAATATATAATCGATCCAGGAAGAATAAATCGTTTAATGATTCTCTCTAACGTGGCGGCTGTCCGATCGTGTACAATAGTCAGAAAGACTTTTTTCTCTTCAGTTCTTTCAACACCACCGAAAACCCAAACTCCTTCAACATGATGTCCTCGATGATACTTTCGTTTGCCAAACTTGGATTCATCGATTTCAACAACTATACCTTCACCGCCTAAAAAACTAAGTTAATACAGTATAAATATAATTTTTAAATTGTAATATTACCATTTACCAATCATTATATCATTTTCAACAATATCAGCTTCAATTAACTTGTATATTTTTTTTATTATTCCAGAAATGGTTCTTGGATTTAATCTTGCTGTTTGACGTATATGGGCCAAGTTCGAATCTGTAGCCCAGCACCAAATAACATAAAGAATTTTATTTATAGGTGCCTTTAAATTGTAAAAGAAGGAACCTTTTCGTAAAGTAACTTCACTTCTATTACAACAATTTCTTCTTGGACACTTCCAATAAAAACCACGATCTGTTTTCCATTGTAGTGTCATATTTGTACCATTACGGCATTGCATAGATTCATAAAATACTCCTTGTGAACGAAGATATCTATATTTACGAGTAAATAAATATGATACTCAACCAAAAAAAAAAAAAAAAGAAATCCAATAAACTTACTGAAAAGTATATCTAGGAGTTACTAAAATTCGAATCATATCATCAAAGCTGGGAGCTAAAGTACGCATTTTTTCAACAAAAGTTATTATATGTAAATGAGAAGACTCTAAGAAGTAGTAGGTTATGAAGTTAAGTGAAGTAAAAAGAAACGAAAAGAAAGCATTTATTCTTTTTAAATTGCGCTTCTTAAAAAAAACCCTTCGGTGTTTGGATTGAGTCTAAATTTTTATGTGTAGGCATATACTGCAACAGATCCACCTCGCATTCATATAAAAGACCATTCAATTTCTAAACCAAAATAAAATCATCCAAGAACTATTGTTCGGTCTCGCTGACTCACTCAGTCTCTATATCTAAAACTTATTAAATTATAACTCCTGATATCTAAGAATACCACAATTTTATAGTACTGGCAGCAATAAAACAGATAGCGAAAGATTTGATTGTATTTCTGTGAACTTTATAATATAGTAGGCAAATCAGCTAAGTGTTTTAGCTGCGATTGCCAACATCTGAAAATAATCTTGGTTCTGAATGAACCTTTCCGTTCTATATATACATATATGTAAAGGAGCGATACTGAAGCAAAACTACAGCACTTTGCTAACTGTGTGATTTCCGTTTGACATGGCTACATAAATCAATCATTTAAATTTGAAGTAGCAATGCTGACTTATAGTTGTTGAACATCGTTTGCTGTTATAAGTTTTGCGAGCTTTTCAGTCTTCTAAAAAAATAAAAAGATAAATAATAGACAGGTATGAAGAAAACAAAAAGGAAAAAATAGCTAATGAAAACTGGAATGACTAGTTGGCATTGACTAAAGTTTATTTTATACAGGTAGATAGCAAAAATTGACTTTTGAAGAGAATCGTTACAGATGAGTAATTGCAAAGTAAATGCTCGTTGTATATGTATTGCTAAAGCTTTATTTTTAACAATGATGAGATAAAAACGAAAAAGGTAAAGGAAGAAAAAAGACAAATTCTGCTGTGTACCAGCTTAAATTAGAGCCATATTATTTCCTTTTTTTTTTTCTTTTCACATTTGCTTATTTATTCACTTTTACTTTTTTTAAAGCACTATCAATACTTTTGTACAGTGCTGCTATTAACCGGCTCACAAAAATATAAAATGATCTGTACAGTGCAATAATTACGTCAGAGCTACGAAATAAAGACCACTAGATAGCCCAAACGTCATAGTATAAGAAAGGAAGAATGACGTAATCATATATTGTTACACAAAGCTGCAAATAAAAAAAACTTGATTTTGGACTAAATGTAAAATGATACAAATATGATTCAGTGTACCTTAAACTCTATTTTAGCGTACCTGATGCAATGATAACGTATCATTATGATGTAGAGAAGCTGAAAAATATATAAAGGCGACATTTTTACACAGTTTTCCTCATTACACTCTCACTTTTATCTCTCACAACTACTTCTCTACAATGCCATATAAACTCAGTAACGACAAACGAAATGACGTCATTTCAATGATCAAGGCCGGAAAGGGTACTAAAGACATTGTACAAGCCACTGGAGTGTCTAAAGCCCAAGTTGTTCGCATGAAAAAAGAACATGATCCTGATCGCATTAAATCTCGTGGTGGTAGAGTCAGTATTGTGTCCAATTACACAAAGCGAGTCATATCTTTTAGAGTCCGAAAAGGTTTCTTATTATCAGCAAAAGATGTCCAAAGATATCTGTGGTCTCTTGGTTACAAATTTCAATACTCTTCCACAACAAGACTCATGAGATCCCTTGGCCTTAATTCTCTGTATAAAAAAAAGAAGCCTTTAATCAAGAGAATCAACCAGAAAAAGCGATTGCAATGGGCCAAAAAACACCGTGACTGGACTGTAGAGGACTGGAACAAGGTTATATTTTCCGACGAAACCAAAATTAATAGATGGGGATCAGATGGAGCTCAGATTACGTGGAAGCATAAGGACGACCCACTTCGACCCCATAATTATCAGACTCAATTAAAAGGTGGCGGAGGCTCAATGATGGTTTGGGGATGCATGACATCATTAGGAGTAGGTTACGCATGCCGTATTATCGAGTATCCCATGAATTCAGAACTGTACACCCATATCTTGGCTACTTCGTATAAGGATACACTTGAGTACTTTGGTCTTAGCAACGAGGAAGTCATCTTTCAACAGGACGGAGACTCAAAACACACCTCGCAATACACAAAAAAATGGCTTGCAGACAATGGAATAAGGTATATTGAAGACTGGCCACCAAATAGTCCCGATTTAAATCCGATTGAACACCTTTGGCACCATGTCAAGTTGAAGTTAGATGCATACGACACTAAGCCCAGAAATATGAATGAATTGTGGGATAGATTCGATAAAGAATGGAATAAATTCACTAAAGATGACATGAAGAAGTATTACGAAAGCATGCCCAAAAGAATCGAAGAAGTCATCAAGGCTAAAGGTGGATATACTAAGCGCTAATGTTTTGTAGCCTGATTGATTTTACAGTCATTTTTACATTTTTTCATATTCCGCCCAAATTTCCTAAATAGTATTTTATAAAATTTTGTTCAATAAAACTATGTTACTTAAGCAATATTCACTCAAAATTTGAAGAGTCTAGCTTCATTTCTGCAGAAGTTATCTTAAATTATATTTTTGTGAGCCGGTTAATAGCAGCACTGTAATATCTTCCAACTCTACTTTGACTTTTAAAGCTGTCATTCACTTCGTTCGACTGCTTGAATGCTCAATTACGTGTCAAATGGACCGATGAAATCTTTAAACTGATTAGTTTCTTTTCCTCCTTGTTCAACACGCTCCTTTTCAACAAAGTTATACTCGACTATGCGACGACTATACAATGGCAGAGAAAGTAAACTTGTACGATCGGATTGAGTGAGAGAGGCAGCATAACTTGTATTTGATTTTTATTGAACTATTTTTATGAATGTAAAAAACCACAACTACTGTACAATTTGAAAGATAAGCAATATGGAGACAATAGTAATCTTTTTTAACGTGCGAGACGATGCTTGGTTTTGGAATGATGGCTTTATTGTAGATTGATTATATGAATCGAACAAGTTTAAAGAGTAAAAAGGTTTCTAAAGTCACCAGCATTTTTTAACAAGACAGGATCAATAACATCCCCGGGATATATCACCGATTTGTATGCTTCAACGTCGACTTTGTTGCTTGGAAGAATGTTGAAGGTGCTTATGAGACCAACAGGACAAAGGATATCAGTCGTTTCAAACACAACGTACTTCTTGTTGATATCAGTTATTGGTTTGGCCTTTGGCACGTTGAAATTTGATGATATGCAGCCATCATAGACTTCTCCAAGAACAAAGTGACTTTCGCGGTTGGGCTCGATCAAGTATTTAAAAAAAACAAGTACTTTGGCAATATACCAGCAAGTTTCAACGCGGGACGGATGACTAACATATATAAAATGTAAGTAAACTGTAAATATGAACGAGAGGAATATATAGAAATGTAGTTTAGCTTACCCATTTCTGTAAATAGTATGTGCATATTTGAACATTACATAGTATCGGTCTTTCATAATGTTTTTTTGTTTATATTTGTGAAGCTGCGAATGATATGTGACATGTTGAAGATTCATTCTAGAAGAATATCGAATTTGGTAGGACTGTTGAACTGGTGTAAAGCGAACCTCCTTTTTACTGATATTTTTAATTCTAGCTACAGTGACTCACAAAAATGGCTCAATGTTTCTGCATTTTGCGGTTTTTTCACTGTAGCTAGACAATGAGTATTTTTAGCTTAATTTTAGCTATACGACAGTAAAGAGCAATACCACAAGTACTATTGGTATAAGTTTCGTTGACATCGCACCACTTCATCTGCAATTACGAACATGAATTGTTGCAATGTCGACAATCGGGCATTTTGCATAAATTCACGAATCACTAATGAACTTCCAAAAAACACAACAAAAAATGTATTTTAAGGGCCAGACAGTTTCGCATATTGTATTTCGCATAATTAAGCAGCTCTATGTTTCATTTTCCCCCTGAAATTCCCATTACAACTTTCATTAGATTCCATCGATTACCTTTACCCCACATTTCAACTACATTAACACTAATTGCAACATGAGACCTATTCCTTACGATAAGAAAATGGATATTATTTCCAGACTGAATGGAAACGATTCTCACAGAAATATTGCAAAGTCTCTGGGCGTTTCGCGTGCAACAGTTGACAGAATTGCTACCGATCTTGCATGTGCATCTAATGGCAAGAAGGGCAGACCTGCAAAGATCAGCGCATTGCTCGGTCGAAAGATCGTTAGATCTTTCTATACTGGGCAATTTATTACTGCAGTTGAGGCTGCCCGGAACCTTCGAGGACAAGGATATGAAATATCTGCACAAACGATACGCAGATTCCTCAAATCAGCTGATTTCGATTCGATGATCAAAAAGTCGGCATTGCCATTGACTAATGAACGTCGC